GAAAAGAATTTCCTTTATTATGGTTTCAGACATACCACAAGGTGTATGGTGCTATGATGCAGCTTAGAATTAAAGGGTAGAATTACCACACTTGACCTACTCTTAAACTGGAATATAGAAAACTTAAGGTGGACAAAAAAATAGTTTCCATTTCAAGATGGCATTTTGAGCACATTCCTTTTCCTTCTCAAAATCCTATAGAAATATTTAAAAATTTTTTAAGTTGTGATACTGTAATTTATAATAAGAATATATATTTGGTTTCCATCCTGTTTTTGGCACAGAGCTCCTAAAACCTTTGGGATTTCCTAAGGATGGGGGCTGGTTGCCAGGAAAGTCAACCCTTGTGGTTAGAGCATTGGAACTTTTAGCCAACCTTTGGGGAGGGGAGTGGGACTGGAGATTGAGTTCAGTCACTAATGACCAATGAATTAACCAATCATACCTATGTGAAATCCAATAAACTCCTTAAAAACCCAAAAGAGCAGGGTTCAGAGAGTTTCCAGGTTAGGGAACCAGAACACTTAAGGACACCTCTGTGCCAGGCCTCAGACTCAACAAGGACAGAGGTCCTTTATTCAGGACCTCCCCCTAGTATCTCTTCATCTAATGGTTGAATCTTTTTTTTTTTGTATCATTCATCTACAATTACATGAGGAACATTATATTTACTAGGCTCCCCCCTTCACCAAGTCCTCCCCACAAACCCCATTACAGTCACTGTCCATCAGCATAGTAAGATTCTGTAGAGTCACTACTTGTCTTCTCTGTGTTGCACATCCCTCCCCGTGCCTCCCCCCACATTATACATGCTAATCATAATGCCTCCTTTCTTACCCACCTCCTCATCCCTCCCTTCCCACCCATCCTCCCCAGTCCCTTTCCCTCTGGTAACTGCTAGTCCATTCTTGGGTTCTGTGATTCTGCTGCTGTTTTGTTCCTTCAGTTTTTGCTTTGTTCTTATACTACATATATGAGTGAAATCATCTGGTACTTGACTTTCTCCACCTGGTGTATTTCACTGAATATAATACCCTCTAGCTCCATCCATGTTGTTGCAAATGGTAGGATTTGTTTTCTTCTTGTGGCTAATGGTTGATTCTTATCCTTTAATATCCTTCAAAATTTATCAATAATCTAGTGAAAAAACAGGTTTCCTTAGTTCTATGAGCTGCTCTAGCAAATTAATCAAACCTAAGGAGAAGGGGTTGTGGGAATCTCTGATTTATATAACCAGTCAGTCAGAAGTATAGGTAACAACCTGGGCTTGTGATTGGCATCTGAGGTGGAGTGCAGCCTTGTGGAACTGAGCCCTTAACCTGTAGAATTTGATGCTATCTCTGGGTAGATTATACAGAGCGGAGTTGAATTGTAGGGCACCCAACTGGTGTCAGAGAATTGCTTGGAAGTGCCTATTAAAAGCATGTTTTATAATTTAAAAGCAGAGAGAGAGAGAAGCCTGAAACTTTGAGAAATTTCAAAGAATACAGATGCGGGTTAGAATCAAACTGAAGCAAATTACTGACCACCTGATACAGCATAGCTGAAGTTACATCCCTCCCTGGGAAGGGAAGAGAAAGGATTCACTAGCTAGCACACCCTGCAAACTCCCAAAATGAGAACAGCAAAGGTTAGAAAGGTTAGCTATGAAGTAGTGGGTGAAAGACAGATCAAATGATGTGGTGAACTGCACCTATGTGTCTTCGGGAGACAGTCCTTTTTTGTCCTGAGTTTCTAATATTCACCTTACAAATTAGCTTTCAGCTTTTGAGTAAGAACAGTTTAGAAAGAACAGTAGATTAAGAAGTAACAATAGTGAACATTTATTGTGAGCTACTGTTTAGGCAGTGTGCTGAGTAAGTGTTTAAATGCACACTGCCCTGGGGTAGGTGCTGCTGTCATCCCAATCTTTGAGGAGAAACTTGCCCCCCTTTAACCACCAGGCTGTTGACTCAGTGAACTCATAACCGTCTTTAAACCAATCTGATGAGGTAGGCGATCTTTATTATCCCAATTTTGGAACTGAGGCAAGAGATAGTAAATGATTTGCCCAAGGGCCCACAACCAGTAGGTACAGTTTTACCAGTTGGAGTGTGAGTATGTACTTAGAGAGCTGTCATAAGAAAGAAAGGGAAAATGTCTTTTTTGCCTACAGCTTTCTCATGTTTGTTTGTTTGTTTTTGGTGGGCTATTCAGGATCTCAAACTGAACCCTGAATCTCAAAAATGCAGGAGTTTCATGGTTAGGGATAGATCTGTGAATGCTCAGCTGAGAGCAGGTCTTGACCTAATTAGTCAGTCATGTTAGCAACTATATCCAGAGATTCTTCACACAGAGGGTATTTTTTTTAAGTCTGTAAAACTGCATTTCCTATATTTCTAGTAGTTCAATTCCTGTATTTTGAAACTAATCTAGAAAAATAAAACTACAAAAGGTATGTGATTTCCCCTTCATCTGGAACTCAAGGGGTTTCATTCACATAGTGTGTGAAAAAAACCTCTTTCAAATCCCAAAGATGAGCCATTTGGTATTAAATTCAGTGTTAGCCCAGAAGGTTCTTTGATTATTAGGTGTTGGTATGTGTACCTTTTAAGTGAGACGACGCTAGAGTGTGCCTTTTTGGAGTATCAAAATAAACAAATGCTTTATTTTAGTGCCTGGTTGAAGCTTGACTTTTCTTCTTTTCTTTTTCTTTCTTTTTTTTAAACTTCTTGTAAAATATTCAATCCTTAGATTCTGTGTACTATATATCTGTGTTATACATCTCTATAATTCAGAATTGGAGTTCTTGAATTTTAGAGTATAAGAATTCCCCTATATAACGTAGCACTCCAGTTTGAAAAAGACAGATGCACCCCTATGTTTATCGCTGCCAAAATATACAAGATATACAATAGCCAAGATATGGAAGCAACCTTAATGTCCATCAGTAGATGAATGGATAAAGAAGATGTGGTACATATACACAATGGAATATTACTCAGCCATAAGAAAAAAACAAATCCTACCATTCGCAACAACATGAATGGAGCTAGAGGGTATTATGCTCAGTGAAATAAGCCAGGTGGAGAAAGACAAGTACCAAATGATTTCACTCATATATGGAGTATAAGAACAAAAGAAAACTGAAGGAACAAAACAGCAGCAGAAGCACAGAACCCAAGAATGGACTATAGTTACCAAAGGGAAAGGGATTGGGGAGGAGGGGTGGGAAGGAAGGGATAAGG